ACTGACTAGTGCGACTGAAGCGGAAACAAACATCCCCAAACGGTGCGTGGCAGACAGGCAGCATTCACGGTTACCAGCGCTGCGCAACAAAAACACAAAACATGGATGAAAACACTGACTACCAATATCATTCCTGGCCAATATTGTGTCAGGAAAACATATGTGATCCAGGAGAAGCCAGGTCTGGTCTTATATGATCTTTGAGAGGCCTATTCAGCAAGTGTGTCTCATTAGCTGGCCGTGAAACCAGCCCCCGGACCTGACAAGCAGCAGGGACAGGATGTGACAGATTTTGAATCCATGAAAAGTTTCGATTTATCCAAGTTGAACTGCGCAAGGCATCGTGCGTAAACATTCACTGGAGACTTGCCATCTGGCGTGTGCTTGATCAGTAAACGTATGCCAGCTGGATAATATCCAGCATCTTACAGGTTAGTGAGAAAAGGGAAAGGGTTTCCAGTCTCGCCTGGTAGCTGTGTGGCTAACGTTATGCTAAGCGCAGAGCTATCTAGCATCAACATCAGGACACACTGACTGACGGCCTGGACACAAATCTCATCTCCGCAGTTCGATCTGCGAGCCGCCCCGCCGCCAAACTTACCGGCTTTTTCCTGATCGTATCCCACGACAACAAAATAATCAGCCAATCTAGCCATGTCTGCTGCTTTTCCCGAGATTTACCAAGACAAATCAGCATTTTTCCTTCTTCCAAAGCACAGCCATGTTTGACAGGAGTGACACTGCGCTTGCGTGCAGGAATCGGAGCCGTCCATGGGCGTGGGCCCTTGAGTTTACAAATACCGCTCTGTGTCCAAACAGAGCCCCTTTTTGGCCCCGAAGCGCAAGGTCTTAACCTTTTTATATCACGGACTGCCAAACAGACAGCCACCACATCACAATAATACTATTATTTACTGTAACTGTAGGAAATATATTTATAACCACGATGGAAAACCTGTTGCCATAATAGTGACTGCTGCCTGAAATAGAAGGGATGTATCATTTCTGGATGCCTAAGTCCACAGACCTGATTTAAAAAGTGCTTTCAAAGTACAGTCGCTGACATGATTCATACATTTATTAAATAAATGTTGCATGCTAGATTAAAAGAAAAGAATCTCAGTTCCATGTGTGCACTCTATTGTGCTACAGTATAACTAGCATTCACTTGTACTAGTGGCAGGCTGGACTACTGGCTTCATTCCAGTTAAAGCTGTGTTGTCGCCCACTGGTTAACAAATATTTACCCAAATAAAGTGTCTGTGAAGCAAAAACATTATTATAAATCTAAATGATCAGATGGTAAAC